AATTTGAAGTTTATTTTTGATTGATTTTATCCGAGAAAAAAGAGGCAGATATTATAAGATTTTTTTTTCTTCTTCTTCTGCCTTTCATTTATTTATGATTTGTATTTTAATTATATTGAATTTATGTTTTTTTAATGAAATGAATGAATAAACGTTGTTATTAATCAGAGATCCCTTTAAAGGTGGAATAAGCTTCCACCCCCACCAGACCAAACCAGAGGCAGTTACCCATGACAGCACAGCTCCTAGGATCATTCAGACACACAAACCCCTCCATCACAATAACGTGTTGATTTATGGAGGAGATTTTTAAATAGTTTCTGTAGCCAATCAAAAAGGAGGTTTAGAGCAATTTAGCTGRCATTGATTGTTTTTAAACTGGAACTTATTTTGGGTTAACTGTACAGAAGAAGTGGGTCTTGCTGTGGTAGCTCTGCTGTCAACACACACAGACTCATCCTTAGCAGCAACACGACTGTATATATTTATAGCTTTCCTCTGTTGGGAGTTTGTCTCTGCCTTTCAGTGGAACRCACAAACTCTCATCTCACAACATTTAGCCTCAGCGTTAGCAGGTGTGTCGTTCATGCTACAGGTTTAAAGACCCAGATGAAGTTGTTTATCCATTTAAATACGTCACTTTATCGTGGTCTCACCCCTCCTTCAGCCCTCGKCCACTCTGCTCGCTCGAGCCGTCTCTCCTTGGCCCGCCACCTCAGAAACCCACCTCGGTCCTTCCTCGGAGGCGAGCGGCGCGGTGCTGAGCTTCTTGCAGGGCGACGTCATCAGCGTGCTGCAGCAGAGGGACGACTGGTGGTTTGGACAGCTCAACGGGACTCAGGGATGGTTCCCCAAAACTTACGTCACTCTGGAGCCTGCTGGGAACTCAGAGTATGAAATAAACACGTATTTTCAGTTGAAAACTCAAGCTAATCGTTGAATTGAAGACAGTTTGTGTTCTCATCGCAGCGTGGACGCATTGGACTCGTCTGACTCTGCTCAGCTGGAGGGTCGGTACCGTTCACCTCACATTAGATCCAGTTTCAATCCTGATGCAGCTCTTTGAGTGATGCCTTCACTTACCCTCYTGTCTGTCTTCACCAGAGTACGTAGCCTTGTACACGTACGAGAGCCCGGAGACGGGCGACTTGACATTTGTCGAGGRAGATGTGGTCATGGTGACAGAAAGGGAAGGAGAGTGGTGGCACGGGTGCATTGGTGACCAGACGGGAGTGTTTCCCTCCAACTACGTCCGGCCTGTTGAACCAGAGGTAAAACATTTATTAGTTTTTTATTTTTTATGAAGTTGCTTTTATAACAGAATATTTAATTACTGCACGTCTAAAGCTTTCTGAATGATGCTAAATGTTTTATTTTTTTATTATTTGAAAGCTGAAAAAAGTTATGTAAATGTAGATAATACTATTTAATAGCATCTCCATTCAGTATTTTTCCATTCATTTGTTGTTTCTTCTTTTTTTTTTTCCAATTACCAAAAATGTAGGGGTCAAGACCTGGAAGCAAGAAACCTGGTGAGGACAAGCAACCCGCTCACTGAAAACCAACACAAACTGAGACRATGATTAAATCTAACATTCTTTAGAGTTATGCCTTCTGAGTAATGTAAATTCATTACTTGGCGTTTCTTTCTTTCCTTTTTTTTTGTTTTATTTGTTTTTTTATTTATTTATTTTTTGGTCAGCAGAGCTCGCTCAGGCTGTCACCGCCGCCGAGGCCCCGACGGTGCATCAGCTGCGTCTGTCTCCTGGGCAACTGATCGTGGTCCGGGCCAAGAACTCCACCGGCTGGTGGCTCGGAGAACTACAGGTCAGACACACGAGAACGATGGGATAAAAAGCTGATTCTGTTTTGTTTTTTTTAAACATGACAATATGAATCATTAATGGTAAAACTTTTATATGTAAATATATGATCTTATTCTTGGGCAAAAAAGGGGCAGATGTTAAAAGATTTTTTCCTTTTATTTGTGATTTTGATATATATATATATATATATTCTCTTTTTTTATTATATTTTTCTTTTTATTGTATTGTAAGAAAATTCGTGTTCAATAAACTGAAGTTGATATTAAAACCACCACTGTTAAATAAATTGATTTGTAGAAGGAATCAAACCATACAACACCAGAATTCTTGAACTGAGGGAGGTTTATTGTCGCCCAAGCTGACAGGAAACCAACACTGGCGAAAAACCAGGAAGTTCATCAATTTATACAGGTTCTTCAATGCCTGCGTTCGCCCCCTACTGGCCTACGGCTGAATCACAGGCATTCAGACAAAATTCTCAGCTAATATCATCACAACGCTTAATTATGTGTTGTCACAGATATTTCGGACTTGTAACTAATCTATTATCAATCAAAACATAATAGATTAAACACTGTCAACATTACAAAAAGGAAAACCTAATAATATAGTGTTGTGCTTTTAACATCAGTACTAACCTCTAATAACTTTAAATTTTTTCATTATATTGTATATACAATTATTTGTTTTGTTTTAATGAAACGAATAAAGAAATTGAATTGAATTGAAAAAAGAATGAATTGTAAGTGAAATGCTGAGCTGTATACCCTCTGTAAACAAAATGAATGTAATATATTTTATTGGCCAACAAGTATTATTATTAACTAATGATGTCACGAAACTCCTCTCCCTTCAGGTTCGGGGTAAAAAGCGTCAGAAAGGTTGGTTTCATTCGTCTCACGTGAAGCTCCTGGGTCCGTCCAGCAGCAAGTCGTCTCCCTCCCCTCTGCCAGGTGATCACCACACAATGAACACAACGTCCTGCTGCTATCAATGTGCAGAAGACTTTATGTCTCCACAAATAAACCAATAAATCCACTTTTGTTGGAGTGTCTCCACCAACATCCTGTTCAAACCTGATTAACAATCTGTACGTTTTCTTCATTTCTCAGTTTGCCAAGTCATCGCGATGTACGACTACACTGCTGCCAATCAGGACGAGCTGAGCTTCTCCAAGGGTCAGCTGATCAACATCCTGGACAAGACCAACCCTGACTGGTGGAAAGGGGAGGCCAGCGGGGTCACGGGGCTGCTGCCCACCAATTACATCAAGATGACAACAGAATCAGACCCCAGCCAGCAATGTGAGTAAACGTTCTGCTTTTTTTTTTTTTCAACAATTCATCTCCAGAAAAATCCCCTTTGTTTCACCATTAGAGAGAAAATCAATAATTTACACACATTGCTGGAATTACCGCAGGAGTGCTGCACAAAAAAACGCATGAAATGTGTCGGTAAGGTGTGGAAACACGTTGTGCTCTCTTAACGGTTACATTGGTTCACTCCAGGTACACTAAATTCATTATCCATGTCAGAGCATGGAAAAGCTGCTGGTAAGTTCCTCAATCCGTCGGTCTCTGAGGGAACTGGTGAACAGATATTCAGTGCACATAAAAGGCTTCATCTCATGCATATTTCAACTTACCTGCTGCAACAGATGACAGCTTCTAATTTCAAAGGTTAAATTTCCTCTGATCCCTGCAAACAAAAYGAATCAGACTTTTTTTTATCACTTAATGGACTGATCTGCCCATTTAAAATCATTTAAAGGAATAGTTTGACATATTTTGCATTATATACTTTTTATGTCTAAAGGTTTCTAAAAGTTTTGATCTTTTTTGTGGATTTGTTTAAAATATTTACCCAAATTTTGCTCTAGTTTCTGCAATGAGTTAGATTTCACTTAAAGCCAAAGAATTAGTTTATTTGTCAAAATGTCAAACATTTTCCTCAAAAGCTGACAAATCTCTTAAGTTTAATCATCACACACGCAACATCAGTTCCCCAAAAAGTTAGGATGTTGTATAAAATAAATAAACAGAATTATCTAAAAA